TCAACCATTTCCGACCACATCAAAGCAAGCCCCAATCATCAAATAGAGTGGTCTGACATCACCATTCTCTTTAACAAACAAACAGACTTCACTAAACGCAAGCTCACCGAAGCCAACCACATCAAACGCCAAAAGCCCACCATCAACCGAGACCAAGGATACTTCATTCCATCCGCTTATGATGCACTCATCCACCAAGCCCAATCTACTGTATAAACTCTGCTGTATAAACATCTCATTATTATTTGTACATCATTGGCTTCCACACGTGTCCTTTGTCTACTCTCTGGCTTCATCAACTTTCTGCCTAGCCAATTATGTTAATTATGTTGTTTTCTTTGTTACATTGTTACATCCAGTATATATACACTTCCCCCTTCTTCATGTTCCACACAAATCACCAAATATAAACTTTCATACATCCAAAACAGAAACGAAACAACTCATTAAATCAAATATTCTTCATACTGACTTTCAACACAACATAAACAACAACAAATCAACATGGGTTACTTCCATTATAAAATCACCCTTAAGGAAAATCCCTACATTCTCTAACATTAAAAATATTGACACGGCCATAAACAGACTTATCACAGGCATCACAAACCTCAACCACACACTTTACAAACAAAATAGACATGCAGATGGACTATGCACACACTGTAATACCCAAGAAGACATAAATCACATACTCATACACTGCCAGCTACAAAAGACAAACATTAAGCAACTACAAAACAGCATTCCCTCTAAATATCACAATAACATCCCACTACTCCTCAACCCACACAACCCAACAAGTATCTTCAACGCCCTATCATTATTTCTACAAAACTCAAACCTTCTAAAAAGAATCTAGAACTCATTAAATAAGCTACAGCCACCTCTCTCATCTCCCACTTACTGCAACATTCAGGCCAGCCGTTCAAACCTCAGTCATCCATTCTGCCCCCCTACAACTTTAGACACGGCGCTCAATTTCATTTATCCATACTCTGCACACGCCACGCTCGCTCTCCCTCTCGCTAATGTAAACAACCCGACACAAGCTCATACTGCTAAGGTCAAGGTCACTCGCCAGCCAGCTCACTACCACTGCTTGTCTCTCAACCCGACCTATCCCTCATTGCGCCTCCCTTGCTCCCCTCAGCCCCAGCCCTCCACACACACACCTCTCCCCGTCCATCTTAACACCTTTTTTTTTCATTCTTTATATAGCCCCTTATATAACTTATGCAGCTTAACTGCATTTAAATATCTGCCCCTATGCTATACATGTTCAGTATTCACACACACACCCCGTCCCCACCCCATTCCCCACCCCCTAGGTCCCCTTTTATGTCACCTATCGTTTATTTCAACTCTATCTCTTACTTATTAACAATCACTATTCCTATTTAGCCCTCCTTTCTCCTTTTTTTAACTTGGCTTTTTATTATTTTTATCTCTATTTATGTTTATAAACGTTTTTTATTCCAAATTCAACTTAGGTTTAACGCCCCAGCATTTATATTTTTGGGGGTAAGGTGGTTTATCCCTTATTAACATTTATTATTTATTATATTAGCTCCCACCTACCCTGTCGGCGAAATTGGCTTACGCCAAAAGCCGACCTTAAACATTTAATTTCGTCGTCATGTTCCATTATGCTTGACAACGGTACAAGAACCTGTATTGGAACGTCGCACTCACGAATAAAAAGAAGTTGTTATCCATAAAGTTTGTTCTATATTGTAAATTTACCTTTCTATTGTATCCCATATTGTATTATAACTGGTTATTCAAATATAGAATAATGCAAAAATACAGATTGTTAATTGACTTGTATGTTGGGGAATTTTTTTAAAATATGATAGCTTAGATGATATCAGAAAATGTCGAAAAAACAATGAAGTCGTAAAAACTAAATATGTTTTACACAACTGGATACGACTGCATAACCACTTTGTTTATAGGAATTAATTCAATGTCATGCTTGACTGCTTCATATTCAATAGATTATGTCACAAATCCCATAAATAAATAAACAATGGTAAGCGTTCCTCCCGTTCCCCCATTCCAAACAATATGTATAACTTTATATATACTGAAATTATTAACAAAACCTAACACAACAAGTACTACAGAACTCACAAAAATAACTTAAGCCCAAACATTAATTACAATATATAGGGTCGAACCACGTTGTATAAGGGTCCCAGGCTCGATAATGTTACAAGTATAATATGAGGGACGGAAGGAACTCTTTCCTAATAAAACAAATAAATACATACATAAATAAAATAAGAATAAAATAACAACAACAGAATAAAAAAACAAAAAACACGTATACTCATCGGTGATCGAAAACTGAACTTGAGATTCGGCTTTCGGCAGTGAAGCTAATCAAAAGCGGAAGTACTGCACTTTATCTAGTAGTGCCCAAACCCTAAGGATTGGAAAGGGTACCTAACTGGCAGCGAAAGAGACAGAGCAGTTATAGCCATATAGCGAGACAGCGCGATAATTGCTCAGCAGCGAGCGGGCTTCACCTGGTAATGTGCACTTTAGCCTCAGAAGCGGAGATGAAAATATAAATGCAGTTTGGGTGGGGGTTTTAAACCATAAAGAGAACCAATTTTCATTATGCCACCATCGGGACCATTCGGTGGACATGTTTATGATGTAGGTTTATGGATGGCCCTTGATCTCCGTAGAAATTACTTACGCGCAATATAGCGAGGGTCATTTAGAACTTGGAATATACATGTTCTCCAGATCACGACCAAGTAAAAGATACTGACAAGCTCGAATTTCTTTGGATGGTGGAATACTACATTTTCAAGCCACCACTTGCCCGTTGGGCTTCGGTGATGAATTTCGTGAATTTGGTGTTTTCAATTTCAAGAAAATAACCATTCATGTTGATATTTCTAAAAAAAAACATTACTGATTGTGGTGGGCAAAGTTAGGAAATAAAGTTGAACATAATGAAAACACCTAAAGACACAGTTACCGCCATATATTCCAGGAAACGTGGACATCAAACTTCTGATCATGCCGCGTCGTCTGCTCGAAGAACCAGAGCGCCCTCTAGGAAAAGCTAACAGTTTGGAGTAGTGTCCCTTGAATACAATTTCCGCGATGCAACCCGATGTTGACCCAACATCGAGCCAACGTATGAAATCCCACTAATGAGTGGGTGATATCACAGAAAAGTGAATTTCAAGACTGTAAAGTGCATTTATCTTCGTGATGTACCTATTTGGATATGGTTTTGACCTAAAAGTGAGGGTTGAAGGAGGGACATATAGTGTGTGATTTATGTAGAAATTAAGTAGCAAACTTAGAATGCCGGCACATTCACCGATGACTAGATAGATATAGTGCATAGGCGGATCCAGAAGGGAGGTACCCTCCCTTTCTCCAATAGTATGAGTCCTGTAATAAACTATATCACTGTTGTAAAGGACAAAAAGCAGACTCATTTGCAGAAGCTCACGCACTCCTTCGTCGGGCATGCAAATAGAAGACCTATCTCTGCTAAAAACCGAATTCGTGGTGCGAAGGGCCCCTGAAAAATTACAATAAGGGCCCCTGAACCAGGGCAGAACTGATACTCCGTGACCTGGAGATCCTTTATCATCTACTCGATCTTCAACCTGAAAAAGGACTCTGAACCTTCTCCCCGTAACATGTATTCCTCGCCTCCATCCCAGCGGGACATGAGGGCATTTGGGTTTTTTCATTTGTCTGGGTTGTAGATTTTTAGGTATTCGACCTCAATCTATCTGATCAAAGCCTCCCATTATGTATTTCCCTCATGATAACTATTTGCTTGACACTATTTGTTACGAATGGAGTGCAGAGAAAGGGACAGCCAGGTGTGCGAGAAAGGATGGAGACGGCACAGCACAGGCTAATGAATCAATAACTTGGTGGGCACTTGTGCACGTGCTTCTCTAACACCTGGCTGTCCCTTTCTCTGCACTCCTCCCTCGTAACAAACAGTGAACTGTGTCAAAATTTTAATGATAGTTTCTTAAACAACTTTTTTGGTGGAGTCCGGAAAATTTTCAAATATAAGAAAGCTGTTGGGTATTAGTAAATGATAAACATGTGTACTATTTATGTTTATGTGGCAATTTTGTACAATGATAAAATTTGCAATTCATCGGTCCGTTTCTGACTCAAACGGACTGTAGTTATCTAAGTTTATGAAAAAATTGCAGCTACTAGCATTTCCTTTGTACTACCCTAGACATGAATTAAAATAGGCGTGGGGTATATTCCGGCGAGTAACTCAAATTTGAGAAAACATGTCCGTATGGGATAATGTCTGGATTCCGAATCAAAAAGAGGGTACAGCAAGAACATGGGGATGTTTCCACTTTACCACCGTATATTTACACCGGCAATCATTAATACATTGGAAAGGATATTACACACTGACCAGAAAGGCTTATTGGTATCCTTCCCACCAAATACACCCCCCTCACGCCCGAAACCAGGTGTTAAAAATATAAATATTTCCTTAGGTTGGGAAACATTTGTACATGTTTAAACACACGCCCTGCTGATCACAGCTGATGGCTTTATAATATGTGTGGAAACAATGTAGTTGACGACTGTTATATCCTGTTAAAGAAAGGAGTACATTCCACAAAAATATCTGGGTCACCCTACAAGGGAAACACTTATAAGAATTTTATCATCAAAAGACGAATCTGTCCATGTAAAATTAGCCCTGTTTTAACACATTTGCTGTCTTTAAGGAAGAGTCTAATTTCTCCTGTTAACTAATCTAACAATGTTATGATGCTTTCCACTGTTTGCAATGTCCATACCTTGCCTGTCATTACAATACTATGTATATGGGCCAGAGGCCTTATGTACAATAAAACATCTTGATCTTGATCTTTAACTGGTTTTGCCTGTTCGAGACATTGCCTGTTTGCGACTATAAACTAGATTTACTTGTGTGCAACGATGCGCCAGTTTATGTATGACGTCATGTATATGACATCGCTTGTAGTTTCACTTCTGGATCAAACATTGCAGTAAAGGAGTCTGTATGCTGTCAATGTGAAATCGTTTAATGGAATTTTGTCATGGAATCGAACTTGTGAATGAACCTGAATACATAACAACGACAGCCGAAATGGTTGTGTACATCTGGGCAAGGTCTATCAATATATTAGGACTGTCGTTGTATTGTGGACCTTCATCAGTTGATGAAGTTAGTGAATCACGTGAGCCAGTTCCGGGATGCGGTATCTATTGTCAGATCATTAACTCTCTGCTGGACTGACAACGTAGTCATACTGAAATCGGGAAGTGAGCGACAGTTGACGTGGTAGTATACATCTGGGCGAGGTCACCCAAACGATGTCAAGGTTTACCGCGCAAAATCTCATTCTAACTGATCTAATTCGTCAGCCAACGTCTATACAAATTCCTGTGTGTGTGTATTGAAAAGCTGACAGCAATATTATGCAACTGGACCATTCCCACTGTGAGGTACGAATTATGCAGAGAAATCAGTTGATTTTGGAGACACACAATGTGTTGTTTATATTAGCATTGGGAATGACCCACTGACCGGCAAGCGTGGAGGTGAGGTGAGGTGAGGTGAGGTGAGGTGAAATTGGGTTTAACGTCGTACTTGAGAATATTTCGCTCATATGACGACGTGCATGCGTGTGTATGTGTATGTGCGGCTGCTTGTACTAGCCCAGACAGAGGCTGGTTTTATAGTGCTAGCCAACTGAGATACAACGCCGCAGTGAAGCAGGAATGCCCCACTCAGACACATTATACTGACTCCGAGCCGACCAGTCCTTGTTGTACCCATTAATGCCGAGCGCCAGGCAGGGACCAACAAGTACCATATTTTAACGTCTTTGGTATGACGCGGTCGGAGATCGAACCCGCGACCTTCCGCTCTCCGGGCGGACGCTCTAACCACTACACCATGGAGGCGGTCGACAAGCGTGGAGGACAACTGTTGAGGCCCTATGATCCTCAAGGAGTAAAGAGGACTAAGTCAAGTACGTCAATGTGATCAGGTGGTTGTTCTCACTTACTTATTCGATGCATGTCATCGTATCCCACTTGCTAAGATCGATGCACATAGTGTCATGACCATGTTATTGTTTGCATTTAAAGCAATACGTTTGTGTCGTAATAGTTCGTCATCAAATATTCCTCTGTGATAAAGTTGTTAGAAAGTTTAGACTAAATCTACACCGTGGCTGCAGCAATGTAGATAATCCTCTGAAATACACAATGCCATTTTAGAAAGTGATCATGATCAAATGTAACATATGTTATATTTGGGATTACACTTTCTTAGTAAAGTACAGATTCTAGTAATCCTTCACCTTAATTAACAGACTCTACACACTGAAACACTTTACCGATCGCTTGCAAATTTAAATTTAGTTAAATGGCCTTATATTTCCAAAGTATTTCTTTTGGCTTGGTCGTAATTGTTTAAGGTAAAAACGGCGTTATAGACCATTCTTAGCCAATATGCATGACCTCGAGGTCAAATCGAAAGCGAGGCTTAAATAGGTTGACCCAAACTTGAAAATGGCGACCTCGGAAAGGAGAGATTACTGCTGTGTGCCTTTGCGTTGGAGTGATGCCTGTAGGGATTTTACGGTATCTTTTCACCATATTCCCAAGAATAAGATCAGAAGAAGGCAGTGGTTGACGAAAATACGGAGAGATCCTCGAAAATGATTCATAGTAAGTACAACTTAATTACGGCACATGGCATAGTCTAGATCTGCCGTGTAATGTAATGTACAAACTGTTCACTATGCAAGGTTTTAATATTAGGGGCACATGTACAATGTGAATGTCACACACACAGAGACACATTCAAACACATTCATATATTTAGTGTTTAAATATCCATTTCAGATGCTGCTGATTAAGGAATCTACCACAGTCACCATCTCAGATACAGTAAGAATGTCAGATCGTATTAAGTTAATTTTGCCAACTGACATGGTTTTAAAGAATTTAATACAACTGAACTTTGACCTATATGCTATCTTATTTACATATAAAAATATTGATTGCCCATACTGTCTAAAAAATGATGTTAGCAACTATTCCTTGATGTATATTTGTAATTCCAGAGATATATTTATTGTTTGTGTTGTCAAAGAGATAAGTGATGCTTTACAATGCTTATATTACAGTGAAGCAGACAGTGATACAGCAGCCACTGACCCCAGTCCTACATAGAACAACTCCAGCAAAACTAACATGAACAGGGGAGGCAACTCAAGGAAAAGGTTGACAAAATAGAAGAATTGAACAGAAAACTTGAACTTGAAAAGTTTGGAGTTTGTAAATTCATGTATGATGATAAACATTGATTTAACATTTTACAGTATTCCATCATTTCAAACATTGGCACTGATTAGCTGGAACTTTTTCATTTGTTGAATATCTTCCCAGGTTTTGTGAAGTACCTTGCCCAAACAGCACAATTTGACAGACATGAATGTAAATGAAATTGTTTGGTGCTTTTGTGTTGTGTAAATGATGGATGAAAAAAGAGACAGCTGCAATACATTCACATTGATGGATTTAACTGAAAAATACTAAGGTCTTTCATAATGGCATAGTTGTAGATGTAACTCATTTGCTGCTGTTTAATTAATAATTGATGAAAAAGCATAATGTATTTCATCCTTTTTGAAAAGAGTTAGTTGGGAATCAGAAAAAAACATCATTCATTGGTAAGAGATTATGATAATGTGTAGGGGGAGAAAACTATGATAAATTATGCATTGATCCAGCTGTAATTGTTGCCATTCATGTCAGACTAATCTAAAAGGATACTTCTATCAACATAAATATTGCACCCAATATATTTTCAATTTGCATCCTCTGAAAATTTTATTGTTATTCATCAGTATTACAGTTGGAAGCTATTGTGAATGTGTTTATTGTTATTGGACTTTTAAGACACCATTTCAAAATAAATTTTTATTAACTGCACTCCAGGTGTTCGTTATTTAGTTGGGTTAATTGTTTGCTGTAGTGTGAATCCTGTTATGTTAATCTGATAATATGTTCTCCTTAGAAATGTCTTCAGTTACAGTGGTACAAAATAAGTACACCTGATCTACAATAAATAAATTTTATGGTATAGTAACACAGTATTGAAAATTAGTTCAAATATTCCCCATACAGGTACCACTTGTCCATTTAGGTAAATTAATTATTCACCTCCAAATCAGTCAAGAAAGAACTTCAAAAAAATCATCCAGTTTTGTCTTGCACATTGTGTCCCACCAGAGACCATATAATAGATATGGTCTCTGGTCCCACTCATGTTGATTGAAATAAATAGTTTCTACATGATGATGTGGCGATTCGTTTTTCCTCTGCGATTGTAACATGCAGCTACGCACACATCCCCCATCACCACTAGTCCTGTACAACTGAAAATAAATGCGTGAATAAATACCCTATATCTATAAAACAGAGTCGATAGGACAAAACATTTTAAACAAAAAATACCAAACAAATAATTTCATCACATGAATAATAATAAAAAAATGTCTGGTCCAGATCCACTCGAGGAGAGCTATCTTGATCCTACTTTATAATCTCGATTATCTAGCTCAAGAATTAACAACACTACTCCCATGTGGAAGTGGATGATTTGAATCCAGGTCAGGAAATACGTCTTTACTTTGTTCATATGTTGATAAAGTAAACGTAATTGATTTCCTTAGTAATATATCCACTATTGTGACTTGAGAGTAGCTTCCCTTCATAAATGCTGAGCAACATGGTAAACGTTACCTAGATATCTAGGTCATATGACTTATCGTGATGTGTCGTGATGTACAGTAATTATTCACCCTTCAATCCGTGGATATGCTACAGAAACATTTGTGTAGCCCTTTCCCATTTCTCTGCGATTTCCCTGAACTACTGGACAGTTTCGTAATGTACCGTTGAAGGGAAATTTGAAACCAGGAAGTATACATTGAGTTTTGTCGCCATTACGCGATTGTGTCCTTGCCCCGTTTGGCCTCGTTTTGGTACAGATATGAATATTCATGAGGCTCATTAAGAATGGTCTATAGGGAGATCTCTTCATGCAAACCAGTCTATGCATGGGACCACAGGGTCACGTGTCAGCATTAATGAAAGCTACACAGATATCCCTCTAACAAAACAAAAACAAAAAATAAATAAATAATAAAATTAAATACATCTTGCGGTTTTGTCGCCCTGTGCATCTAGTTGAAACTACAAGATTATCAGTGTCACCAGCAGATGGTCCCACAGCTTCAGAAGATCCTGGTAGAATAATGGTATGTTTATGATATGACGGCATACCCGGCAATTGTCAACATCAGATATGGATATATTCAATCAATACATTTTGGGCGGATCCAGGAATTTTCAAGGGCTGGGGCTGGGGTTTCGAACACTCAGACACACTCTCGTCTCTCTTCAGGAAATTTTCCTATTTGATGGTATAAGTGCAAGTGCAAATACTTAGGTGGTTTGAAAAATAAGCACTGCTTAGTGTTGTCCGAAATTATGTTAGGCGGTAAAAAGAAAATTACATTTCACCGCTTTTTGTCGAAAACTGATTTTCCTCTGGCAACGGAGACAGTCTAAGTACACTTAGGCTCAGTATTATTCGTTTCACTGCTATAATATAAGCAGCGTAACGAATAATACTAAGCCTGAGCTATAAGCAGTGTAACGGATAATACTGAGCCTAAGTTTACTTAGACTGGCAACGGATACAGAGAGGTCACAAACGGATAAAGTCGAGGTTGCATGATTTCACTATGCTTTACACAAGGATATTGTAACACGGTCACTTGGAGAGCATTTACTGTGTACGCGAACATTACATTTCGTTCAAGATGAACCAGTAAAAACTATCCCAATGAACATATATCCACACCTTAGGGACCGTTCATAATTTATGGCTGGGGGGTCACCCATTTTGTGTATGTGTGTGTGTGTGTGTCAGCAATTTTGTACATAAAAATATGTTTAAAATTATGCTTGGAAATTATGGGGAGGGGAGGGGGTCATCCATTTTGTACATGACATGCAGGGGATCACTTATTTTGTACATAAATTTTAGGGGAGTGTGTGTGTGTGGGGTCATTCACATTGTACATGCTTCTCCATAAAAATCACCATACCACCCCACCCCCACCCCTAGCCATAAATTATGAACGGTCCCTAATTGGAAACACAAGAAATGTTGAAATCATACGGCACGAGAAATCACCTGATAGCCAAAATGGATGGCCCCTTATCTAGTATCTAAACATACGTGTTTGGTTTTAAATCAAATTTAGAGCTATTATAATTTCGTTATGAGACCGTCGTCCAGACACCCGAATCTATTACACAGTTGTACCTCTGATTTTCCAACACAGTATGTTCATGTCCTAATTGGCCAACCCTGATGTCGTACACAATGCAGTTTAGTAACAGCTATACTTTTTAAAAGACTGAGACTCACCTCTTAAAATAATTACACATACATTACATACATATCGGAAATTATCGGATGTTTCACTGTTACAGTTGACAGCACGACATTAGTTCGATTTCCGGCACGCCGTTTATCCAGACCATGCATGTGCGCAGCTGGATAATCGACATTGTAAACAGATGCCCTCTTGAACTGAACTTTAGACTCCTCACTGGAAAGTTTGAATGCAAGCAGCATTCTGTATATGTGTCAGCAATTTCTGTGCGATGTGATTTAGTGACACGGTGTATTCGAGAACAGTTTCCTGCTAACATAACAAAATGTCACTGCTTGTAGACTTTGTGAAATTCATCGAAACGTATCGAGGCCGCGACAAGATCATCCGGCTATGTTCTTATGCAGCAATGTTTATCGGTGGGGACAGCAATTCTCCCATCTCAGAGAAGGCACGTGTGATTGGCCGCGAGCTGAGCGCGTGCAGGGTGATCCTTCGACTGTTCGATGACCTGCCTATGCTGGCATATAACCTGCAGTATGGACTGGGACGCAAGGTACACAAGAGACGATTAAAACAGATATGTTTCGGTTTCCTGATGCAGCCATTGTAAGCAACAGTCATTAGAAAAAAATACAAGCAGCAAGGCATGTTTAGTGCATTGTCATTGTTAGCATCAGTCATTAGAAAAAAATATGACAAAGTATGACAGTTCCAATCAAGAAAACAACAGAATGCAAAATAGAATCGTGCTAGGGTATTCTGAGTTTTGCTAGGATACATTTCTGTATACAGATTTTGGCTAGGATACATTTCTGCGTACCTGGAGTACATATCTGTAGTACCCATGCCGAAAAAGACCCCTTCACCCAGACTAGCAGTATTTGATCCCAGACTCACATTTAAGGCGAAGAATACTTTTAACATGTTAGACATGTTTACAATACACAATACCCAAATTGCAATTAGTAACAGGAAAAATGAATCGAGCGATGTTTCCAACTTTACTGTGAAGACAAGTCCAGCAAGCTGCTGTACTTTACACACGGAAGCCGTGAAGGTCCAGGTTAGAATTGGTCTTCAGCAACCCATTCTTGTCATAAGAGGCGACTAACGGGATCGGGTGGTCAGCCTTGCTGACATGGTTGACATATGTCATTGTATCCCAATTGCGTAGATCACTGCTCATGCTGTTGATGACTAAATTGTCTGGCAGGAATCAATTCTTTACAGACTGCCGCCATGTAACTGGAATATTGCTGAGTGGGGTGTTAAACAACAACCAACCAATATGCCAACACACATTGAACCAGCAGGTTTATGTGATGTAGAAATGTGCATCCAGTATGCACAAGGAACCCAAGGAACACACAGTGATATTCACTGAAGCATATTCTCATAAATCATGACTAGCTTTATTAGCCCTGAGCTTTTAAGGAACCTGACCAAATTACAGTCCACTACACTAATTGATTTGTGCCATGATGGATAATAAGTAGGGCTGCGCAATATAACCGGTTTACCGGTATTTACCGGTTCAGACATGAAAATGATACGTATTGCGATATGCTGATCGAAAACCGGTATTTTGACTTGCATTCGGAAAAAACTTTGTAACGCTCAGAAATCTTCAGATATTTGCTTGTTTCATTTGTGCCAAATAGTATTCACATTTTTATTTTATTATGATTAAAAGTTGTTATTAAAGCTTAATCAAGCATAGTAATTTGGTTGTGTTTTTGTTCTATAAATCAAGCATTAACTCGATTATAAGTATTTTTTGGTTTAAAAATACTTCATGCAATATATTGCAATACATATCGCAATATATGCTTTCGCATCACAATATATCGCAATATGAAAAATCTCTGCACTACACTAATTGATTTGTGCCATGATGGATAATAAGTACTACTAGATGCTAGTGCAGCTTTTCTGTGACTTCTTCCCATGTTGATAGAGGGAATTCATTCATTTCATAATCTACTTTTGTTTGTCTTCTTTCAGAGAGGAACTAACCAAAGAGATGAATGCTTTAAATGCAAATAAACGTGGAAGTTTATGACAATGGAATGTTAAGATTACTGAGAAGAACCGAACTTTGTTATACACATTTGTATATACAGCTAAAAATGAAATACAACGTTAAGTCCTTTAACCTGCAGTCGAGTGGGGGTAATTTTTACTTGCAACTACTCCAGGCAACCGTTTGGAACACTGTCTTGTCTTTCTGAAATTTTAATAACTCAGATAGTTGACTTCAAGCGTGTACCCTCAAGGGGGTTGAAGTATTGTAAATTATTGTCCTCCTGAGAGGGTACTTAAGTCCTCAAAACTTACAAAGTCAATTTAAACTTACCAGGATTTTTAACGTAGTATTCTTGTTATTTTAATTTTGGCTAACATTTCTTACAATCGCCAGCAGCTGAAGGGATGGTGTAAATCCAACTAGGGTCCATGCAGGTAACAAAGGTACTGTAAGTCCCCATGGTCCATAGTGTGGTGATCTACCTTCAGTTGTTGGCGATCTATAGCCCGTTTTTATATTGTATCATCCTCTATAGTTAAACTGTTATAGATTTAATTTCTAGTTTTAAATATATATCTGTGATAATCTAGTTGTTTTACTGTCCTTCGTTGACATGTGTTTATAATTTAATTTTTAATCATTATAAATGTTTACCTTGTTTTAGTCACGATATGGCTGAAATATTGCCTATGTGACTTAAAATCTTAACTCACTCACTATTACTGAAACTCCCCTCAGTGTGTTAAAATGACAGCACCCATTATCAGTAGCCTATTAGAAGAACAAAAGCATCACATTACACTCACAATTTTTCTTTCTTCAGGAGAAGAACCCTTGCCTACGTGTGTGTGAGCTAGGCTCGAACCTGGTCAACCAGCTGTACTACCCTGTTGAGCACATTGCCTGGTGTGCCGACAAGCAGATCCTGAACATCAAATCTGGCAGCCTCTGGTTAGCGGGTCTCATCCTGTGGGCCATCTCTCTCACACTGCAAGCCTTCAAGTAGGTGTTACGCCAGAGGTCACCAAGGCATATTTAGGAAACGACACAGTTTATCTCCATCCTGCTGTAGCCTTCTACTACACTAACAGGGTCATATTTTCTTTGTTGTTTAATGCTTCACTGTGATGCTTGTGCTGGATGTCAGTAAATGTCGGTCAGTAAATGTATGTCAGTAAATGTATGTCAGTAAATGTATGTCAGTAAATGTATGTCAGTAAATGTATGTCAGTAAATGTATGTTAGTAAATGTATGTCAGTAAATGTATGTCAGTAAATGTATGTCAGTAAATGTATGTCAGTAAATGTATGTCAGTAAATGTATGTCAGTAAATGTGTGTCAGTAAATGTATGTCAGTAAATGTATATCAGTAAATGTATGTCAGTAAATGTGTGTCAGTAAATGTATGTCAGTAAATGTATGTCAGTAAATGTGTGTCAGTAAATGTGTGTCAGTAATGTGTGCCAGTAAATGTATGTCAGTAAATGTATGTCAGTGTACCAGTAAATGTATCTCAGTAAATGTATGCCAGTAAATGTATCTCAGTAAATGTATCTCAGTAAATGTATGTCAGTAAATGTATGCCAGTAAATGTATCTCAGTAAATGTATGTCTTTAAATGTATGCCAGTAAATGTATGTCAGTAAATGTATGTCAGTAAATGTATGTCAGTAAATGTATGCCAGTAAATGTATGTCAGTAAATGTATGTCAGTAAATGTGTGTCATTAAATGTATGTCAGTAAATGTATGCCAGTAAATGTCTGCCAGTAAATGTGTGTCAGTAAATGTATGCCAGTAAATGTATGCCAGTAAATGTATGCCAGTAAATGTATGCCAGTAAATGTATGCCAGTAAGTGTATGCCAATGTCTGTCAGTAAATGTCTGCCAGTAAATGTATCTCAGTAAATGTATGCCAGTAAATGTATGCTTGCTTGTTTCTTTCTTTATCTTCAGTAACCCATGCTTGTCATAAAAGGCAATGAACTTGATTGGATGGTCAGGCTCACGAACTTGGCTGACACATGTCGTCGTATCCCAATTGCATAAATCAATGCTCATGCTGTTGATCACTTGATTGTCTTATCGAGACTTGATTATTTACAGACCACCGCAAAAAAGCTGGAATATTGCTGAGTGCGGCGTTAAACATGTTAAACAAACAAGCCAACCAATATTTATTGGTTAATGCCGCATTCAACAATATTCCATCGATATGAAGACAGTCTGTAAACATTGGGGTCTTGACTAGACAGTGCAGTGATTGACATAAGGAGCATTTATCTACCTTTTTTATCAGGCTGCAACTACATGCAACCTAACCATCTGACCCTGTAAGTTACCTCCTGTGACTAGCATGTGTTACTGAAGACCAGTTCTAACCCTCATCTTCATGGGTACAGTAGTCAAGTGGTGAAGGAGGTATGTATGGTGAAGAATGCCCACCCAGGTTTTATTCTGGGTCTGGTAGTGTTTGGTTTTCCCACATGGTGTATGTATATTATTGAAATCAGCGTAAAGCCATGTGCATTCACTATGATGCAAGATCATTGCAGAAATGGCTCTGACAACAGAAGTAATAAATGGTTTACTGTTTAAAGGACTCCAAGATTGTTGACAAGTGCTTCTGATAATTGTCAAGTAGCCAAAGATATTCTGTGTTTACATGTGCTTGCTGACCGTTGTCAAGTTATCTTGAGCTGGTCTGTCTTTACAGGTGCTTGCTGACCATTGTCAAGTTATCTTGAGCTGTTCTGTGTTTACTGGTGCTTGCTGATTGTTGTCAAGTTATCTTGAGCTGGTCTGTCTTTACAGGTGCTTGCTGACCATTGTCAAGTTATCTTGAGCTGTTCTGTGTTTACTGGTGCTTGCTGATTGTTGTCAAGTTATCTTGAGCTGTTCTGTGTTTACTGGTGCTTGCTGATTGTTGTCAAGTTATCTTGAGCTGGTCTGTCTTTACAGGTGCTTGCTGATCGTTGTCAAGTAACCAGGGTTGTTCTGTGTTTACAGGTGCTTGCTGATCGTTGTCAAGTAACCAGGGTTTTTCTGTGTTTACAGGTACTTGCTGACCGTTGTCAAGTTATCTTGAGCTGTTCTGTGTTTACAGGTGCTTGCTGATCGTTGTCAAGTAACCAGGGTTGTTCTGTGTTTACAGGTGCTTGCTGATCGTTGTCAAGTTATCTTGAGCTGTTCTGTGTTTACAGTTGCTTGCTGATCGTTGTCAAGTAACCAGGGTTGTTCTGTGTTTACAGGTGCTTGCTGATCGTTGTCAAGTTATCTTGAGCTGTTCTGTGTTTACAGGTGCTTGCTGACCGTTGTCAAGTTATCTTGAGCTGTTCTGTGTTTACAGGTGCTTGCTGACCGTTGTCAAGTTATCTTGAGAGGTTCCTTGTTTACAGGTGCTTGCTGATTGTTGTCAAGTAACGAGGGCTGTTCTGTGTTTACAGGTGCTTGCTGATCGTTCTCAAGTAACAAGGGCTGTTCTGTGTTTACAGGTGCTTGCTGATCATTGTCAAGTTATCTTGAGCTGTTCTGTGTTTACAGGTGCTTGCTGACCGTTGTCAAGTAACCAGGGTTGTTCTGTGTTTACAGGTGCTTGCTGATCATTGTCAAGTTATCTTGAGCTGTTCTGTGTTTACAGGTGCTTGCTGACCGTTGTCAAGTAACCAGGGCTGTTCTGTGTTTACAGGTGCTTGCTGATCGTTGTCAGGTAACCAGGGCTGTTCTGTGTTTACAGGTGCTTGCTGATCGTTGTCAGGTAACCAGGGCTGTTCTGTGTTTACAGGTGCTTGCTGACAATTTGTCAAGTAACCTTAATATGTTCTTTGTTTACAGGTGCTTGCTAACAATTTGTCAAGTAACCTTAATATGTTCTGTGTTTACAGGTGCTTGCTGACCATTGCGAAGTTAAAAAAATCAGCCAGCAGACTAAAGAAACAGAGGTATCTTGACACCCAAGACCAATAGTATGTAGAATTAAAAGTATTTTAGTAATCTAGATGGATTCATTTCCTTATTTTGAAGTGAAGCAACTGACAGGTTTATAGCAAGCACTTATGTATTTGTTTCAAGTCATGATAAATATACTCCATTTCAGTAAATTAGATAAGGGTTAATTGCACAAAGCAACACAATTATGATGACTCCAGTATAGATTAGAAAGAGTCACAGTGATAAGATTGCTTTATGCAAGTGGGCACAAATTGGGTGTAATTTATCGATTGACAAAACTGAGATAGTGTCGTAAGAGTTACCTCCCTTCATCTTTCATTTGTGTTGGATGTGTCCAGGGTTTGTTAAGTTTTATTTTTCCATTGATGCAAGGGAGCCAGTAGTTGGTTTATTTTCTGATCTGTATACCAAAACCTGTTTTGTTTTAGTCAGAGTTCCCACAAAACAAGTTTCCACAAGCCTAGTCTAGTTGTACTGTCATATAGGCTTGTGGGCAAGTTGAAAACTAGAAGTTTAATTGTAGTGAATAGATTGGTTATAGTGATAACTAAAAAATGTGACATATATGTCATCACAATGAATACTTCACTAGATTTGCATTCGTACCATTCCTTCATAAATTGTCTCAATTTACTACATTCCTCCATTACTTGTAAATATAGGTGGGTCGTTCTTCCCTTTGATCAGAGTAACTACAGTTATCTCCCTTAGATCATATTACTAATGGTTGCACAAAACCATATATTTTGCCTATTGACTTCCATAATAGATTAAAATTATATGAAATTAATTAAACTATCAACAAATGTTATATGTACATGTGTACACAGTCTGGTTTAGAGACGGCAATAAATAACAAACAAAATCTTGTTTAAATTGACCGAAATAATTATTGAAAATCTAGTCAGCATTTAAAACTGGATTGATGTACAGTTCAATAACACAAAATCTGTTACAAAATCATCCAATCACACCTGCCAGATGATTCATTCTGCCTTAAAGGATTCTATGCAAACTGCTGGTCAAGCAGATTTCAGTACAGGATTGCTACATTTATCATCCCAAACTGTTCCACAGGAAATATTGCTTGTGTGAGATCAAACAATATCTTCTAGGACAGTAGACCGTATAAGTTGAACTGTATAAGTACACTCTTACAAAAAGGTGTACATTTGACTTTACTGTCATGGGAAATGTACGAAAGATAATTTTGTTCTATTTTGAAGCTCGATAAGCTCGCTACCGACTATTTGACATGTAAAAAATATGGCGTCTTACTCTCGACTGGAGTTTTAAAATCAGTGAAAGCTTGAAACGGCTATAAAAATGGTTAATTATGTTGAAGTTGAGTAACATTCAATGTATAAAATAGTTTAGATAAAGCAGTGAAAGTAAGGGTTATGTGCACATAGTGAACACAAAAATAGCTATTTGAACGGTTTTCGAACTCTGTGCACTGCATGCATCATATATCATGACGTCATACGATTGTTAGCAATACAGCTTCTCAGTGGGGAGTTTGATGGTTACCGTGGCAGCGGGTAATGTTATTTCCAGTTGTCACCCTCCTTGGAGGGGTGACATGGAAACTTGTAAAAGTACCATTGACCAATGAAACTGAAGTATTTTACATGAAGGTATAATAATTGATTTTGTACAATGCCCTGATATCATCATTTACAGGACTCGCAATGCTTTGACGTAAAATACCTGATGACGTCACAATGCTACAACATCGCTGCACTGCAACCCTAATGGCAGTACCATGTTCAGAGACTAGGGATGGGTATTGCAGAGAATTTTCATTTTGCGATATATTGCGATGCGAAAGCATATATTGCGATATGTATTGCAATATATTGAAGGAAAGTTTTTATGACAAAAAACTACTTATTATCGAGTTAATGCTTGATTTATAAAGCAAAAATAACAAAATCACTATGCTTGATTAGGCTTTAATACAAACTTTTAATAATGACAAATAAAAATGTAAAATAATGTTTGGCACAAATGAAACAAGGAGAGGAATAATGTAGAAACGGAAGCGTCCGCAGATTTCCGAGAGTTACAAAATTTTCCGAATGCATGTCAAAATACCGGTTTTCGATCAGCATATTGCAATACGTATCTCTTTCATGCCTGAACCGGTAAATACCGGTAAACCGGTTATATTGTGCAGCCCTATCAGAGATGTACATTTTTCATTGAAAACTAATGAAGAATGATTTTTTTATAATAAATAGAATCTCACACTTGTGTTTTCTGATATGAAATATGTCAACACTCATTGATAAAAGTGAAAATATCCTCGGTAAGCTTCGGACATGTGTAACTTTATCAATTTGTGATGATATATTTGATATCAAAAGACACTGGGGTGAGTTTCTCGGTTTACCTCCCTTTGACCATATTAACCTTAGGTTACTCAACACCAAATGTTACGCAGTGGAAATGAAAACAAAACTACGGTAACTAAATATGAAGTATGGAAATGTGCTATTTGGGGAACTAAACGTGACTCTCTTTCGACAAATAAGTAACTTAATGTGATACCTTAAATTCTATTATCTACACTATCTAGCTCTATTGTAGCGTAAAGTCTATAATATACAGTAGCTCTATTGCAGCTAGCTATATGTAACTTCTATTTAGATGCACTATGAAATTCTTTATATCAGTCTATCTAAATCCTATTTTGACGAGCTGTCACCCAACTCAAGAAACACCCTAACTCAAGGGAAACCTGAACTCAACTGACGTCTAAACTCAAGTCAGACCTTAACCCAAGCATAACCTCAACACAACTGACCGATTCAATCGTTTCCAATGTGGTCAAGAGCATGTGGTCTGACCGGACGAGAAAAGTCATTAAATACGTAAAATTGTTGTCGGTTTTAATAACTGGATGGATGTGCTTATCGTAAAAAATAGAAATCTTGCACTATTTCATCCAATCACAGCTGTCACATGTTTCTATCTGGCTATCAGTTTACAAACGCAACTGGCTCAGCAAGTGATTCTGATTTAGTGTAGTAGAACTTATAGTTACCTTGTTTTAGACAATATTAACCGTCTTTCATGACTTGAGTTTTTTTGCAACCTTCAGCAGGCATTTGAGACAGATCATATTTCAGTGTGTCATCTTCAAGCACCTGTATTTATATGTATTTTAGTTCAAGCAAATGTAATTATTTCGACCCAGAGAACTTTTGATAATATATTTTCAAATAAACATTGTATACTGTTTCATCTCTAAAAAACACATTTGTGCTAGGACTGGGATTTGTGTAGAATTTCAGAAGAACAATTTTTGAAAGTATGTTTGCTTTGAATGATACAGTGTTGTATATTCTTAATTTCAGTATGCAGTAATGAAAATGTAAGCCTGCTCCTCTCTATTAGTCATATTAGGGCCGGTAGGGTAGCCTAGTGGTTATAAGCGTTAGCTAGTCATGCTGAAGAACCGGATTCCATTCCCCACATGGCACAATTTGTGAAGCCCATTTCTGGAGTCTCCCGCCGTGATTTTGCTGGAATATTACTAAAAGTGGCGTAAAACTAAACTCAATCGCTATTAGTCGTGTTATTTGTAAAAACACAATCACCAAATACCCACCATTGTTTGCAACTATGATAGTATCAATCAATAATATTCTGAACTTTTACTGACATTTATTGCGTATTGGTTATAACGTTTGCTTGTCAGGCCAAACACCCGGGTTTGATTCCCCACATGGGTACAATGTTTAAAGCCCATTTTTAGTGTCCACAGTCATGATGTTCCTGGTATATTGCTAAGATTGCTGTAAAACTAAACTCACTATTCAATCAACAATATAAAGTTTGTTCTTGACAAGTTGAGTTAACAATGTCGTATTCTTCCAGTTACGAGAACTCAGAACAGCGGGAAGAGCTGCGGATGCAGCTTCACAGTTTACAGAGTGACATCTTCAGCCAGTACCTGCTCCTGGTTCAGTCAATGGCCGACCTCCTCAATGCCATCAACTGGCTGCCCAAAGGATTTCTATGGGCGGGACGGTTTGGTGCCGCCAAGTCGGGTCTGTTCGGCCTCACCTCCTCGCTCATCATGCTGTTCCGCCACTGGTACACCCGGTCCTGATACTCCGCGTCATACTTCAGACATACAACATTAGAATTAAGAAAGATATTCCCCGGATACAATGTAAAATATATTCCAACTATGTGAAAAATACTTTACCTGTAATCAAAACCTACATTCCCTAGATATACAGCAGAATAATATTATATTTTGTGCCAAGGTATTCATGTTTAAAGGAGTTTGAAATATGATATACAAAACAAAATGTTCTTTTTTATTATTGTATAGTCAGAATTGCTAATAATTGCAACTTGTTTCAGATGTCAATTAATCCAGATTGTACATATATTATTAGGGCTGGCTATCGATATATAGATTGTAGCGATCGATCATGGTTATACTCATGTCAGTTGAGAAATATTGAAGTAACTTTGAGCAAAAATGACGAAAAATTATGAAAGAAATTAATATATTTCACATCAGTGGTGAATGGTGACATATTAAGGCTTGGATTACCAGCTTAACGCTGTAATGAACATGCTTTAGGAGCAGCTGATAAATAAAGATCTAACTTTGTGAATATTCTGAGTAAATATTAAAACTATTTCATCACACAAGTATATTTACGATATTATGGATTACACAATTTTCATTTCCATGATCATTTAGAATGATTCCCATCAAGGGTTCGAAATACCCCATATATTAGTGTGCCATGGCACGGTAATTATTAAATGGCATGGCTAAAAAATGTTCTCGGTGCCCTTTTGACGCACCTGATTTTTCAGAGACATAACTCACATTTAGGCATTTAATCCCCAAAACAATATATATATATTTTTTTTCCAAATTAAATAATACCATACATATTTGAATGCTCATAAACCCATTTCTTAATTTAACAATAAATTTCAAATGATCATCATCATTGTCATTTATTCTAAAAACATGTGGGCATACTCAGTTTCTGAAAGGCACACCTAAAATATTTGTCTGGTGCCCTAAGACACACTTAGAAAAAAAGTATTTCTATCCCTGCCATCCACAATATTTCTGATTATCAATGTTTTGAGCAGCCTTATATATTACTAATTGTTGTATATTGGCCATGGCATCTATTCCGAGACGTGCCAGGTCAGGTGGAACTAACCCAGAATACTCTGTCCTCCAGAATCAGGGGCAGGTCCACCAGGACTTGTACAATTCTGATATTCAGAATTTCTGACTTACAGTATTTCCTTCATGTGTTTGTTCCATTCTCATGTGGATCTACCACGGCAATGTCATACATCACTTTATTGTTCACTCTGCAGACCTTGTAGAACAACTTCTCAGACCCAAAGCTGCTTGTGTTCCAGATTAAACACGTCTTGTATAGCAGTCTTGCAGTTATTCATATATGTGGCATTTTAAACCCAATTTGGAACATTCCAATTTTGACTCTTCCAGATGGTCTTTGTTTGAGTCATGGATAAGACTGTCAGTGCTTTATTATTTAGTGCGCTTTAGAATAATGTAAATATTGTTCTGTGTTAATTGTCATATTTAAAGTAAGTGGGATGGAAGTATTGACAAAATAAGCAGTATGTTATTAAAACCCTGTGTGTGAATGTATGAATGGCAGAGGCAGCGGCTTTGTCACCACCATCATCATCATCATCATCGTCGTCGTCATCTCTACTTGGCACTGTGTTGTGACCTTTTGGCTTGCCACAAAACTATGAATGTTGGGCCTGGTTGTGTTTCTATGTTTCTCACAACCATACCCTTGTTTGTGGTTTCACCAAAGTGGTAAAGATCTCAGACCTTTCATCCCACTTGCTCAACCATTGCCCTGCCCTGCCCTGCCCTGCCCTGCCCTGCCCTGCCCTCAGCTTTTGCTCACTTGCTTACCTGCCTGCCAGCCCACATCCTCACCAACTTCTCAACCATCTGCTTGTTTTTCCACTCACATAACCACCAGCAAGCCCGCTACCTCACCCACTCACTCAACCACCTGCCCATCTGCTTGCTCACCCAATCACTCAACCATCTGCCCATCCGCTTGCTCACCCACTCACCCACCTGCCCATCTGCTTTCTCACCCACTCACCCACCTGCCCATCTGCTTGCTCACCCACTCACTCGACCACCTGCCCACCCACTTCTTAAACCACTCACTCAACCAGCTTGTCTTGACTCGACTATTTACAGACCGCCACCATATAGCTGGAATATTGCTGAGTGTGGCATGAAACTAAACTCACTCACTCAACCACCTGCATACCAACCCACCCATCTACTGATTCACTAATCCCATCTACTGATTCACTAAGCTCTATTATTTGGTGTATGTTGGTCCATGAGAGCTATGCAATTCTGTATGATCTATTATTCAGCACAGTTAAACAGCATGCAATATTATTCAGGTTAAGCATGTGTGTGTTACTTAAGGTCTGTTATAAATGTTTGAATTTCTGTTATGCCGAATGTTTGGGCAAACTATTTCAAGGCAACCTGATGTTGAATATTTAGTGTACTTGAAATTCAAACCATTATGTATTTCTCATTTTTTATCCAATGCTGCATAAAAGTGTATTTTTGTCCCTTATGGCGTCAGGATTTTACTTTCAGAAGTATTACCCCACAACTGGAATCAACCCCTCATCCTTAGTCTTTCAAACACTGCACCCATAAGGTTCTTCTCTACCCAGTAGTACAAACCTGTTTTGTTTCTGAGGGGCAGTTAATGCAACCTTGATTGTTCCCCATGTGTAATGTCGTTGTATTTGGGATAAAGCTGGAAGTAAGGCTGAGTTCCATCAGCTGGTATTCCATAGACATCCAGGTCACACAGAAATCAGGCTTCTTAACATTGTACCCATGTGATTGTTCGAACCCAGGTCTTCGACGTGACGAGCCAACGGTTTCTAGGCTACCCCACCGCCCCTTGACTCATGGGACTTCAATTTCTGGGACTTCAGTCCTGCCCTACAATGAAGCGTGTGACGCATCTGGTTTCACCCTAGGCAAGTGAGTTTGTGCATGAATAACCTCTGTTCACTCAGCAGTGAATGGGTACCTGGTGGGATAAAAAACATATGACTGTGGTGGAGTCTACTAATGCCTACATTGAATAATGCCTACAGTGTTAAATAAACAACTTTACGCACCAGTGCTGCTGATTGCATCTGCCTTCAACCTTTCAATAAAGTGGCATGGTCCTATTTCAAAGTGCACTAATGCCTACAGTATATAGAAAACAGTAACTTTCTATGTTGAGAGACATTTTATTTGGTCATTCATATACATATGTACATTCATATACATATCTTTCACATTGTTGTCATATTTTTCTTAATTTTTTTAAACTTTATTCATATCTTTCACATAGTAGTTTGTTTTGAGATAAATAAATTTACATAAATAAACAATCATTTATTTGGATTAAAATGTAATTAAAACTTAATTTGATTCATGATTATATATACATATATACATCTTTCACACAGTCAACTACCACATTCATTAATAAAGTCATTGTGGTAACCAAAAGTAATTTACATGTATACACACAGTTTCACACATTCATCAACATAGTCATTTGGTTTCAAGCTAGCTTAATCAAATATCCTGCAGCAGTCAGGAATTCCAGGGGCGTCTTGATACCAGATGTCAGCTGGACCCTTCAGACGAGTGAGTCTCTGGTCAATTTCTGTGTAATGCGTCCTCTTAGAGTGGGGTGGGGGCGGGCGCCTCATCGAGCCATTGCCCAGCTTATTTCTCTCCGCTATCTCCAGCTTCTGCAGAACCTTCACACAAGGCGAAAATGTTCGGTGGGCTCTCTGGGCGGTCTTGTTGAGATCTGAATGCCAACCCTCGAGATGATTGTTAGGTCCTTGGGCTGGTGTGGTGGTGATTCCATAGTTGACCGGAACCGTGCATGATTAGATCTACCCAGGTGCTGGTGATGTAGTCCTGGAACTCATCCTTCTGTCCAATGGCAGGGGCGTCGTCCATGACCTCTATCCAGGCATTTTGTACCATGGCCACTGGGAGGAGGGGAGTGCTGCTGCTCGTCGGACCCATCTGTGGACCTCAGGATCCTGCTGGTAGGCTTTGCTGAAGCCGAGGTTCTGTACTTTCCTCCAGAGAGCCTGGCTGTAGTGGAAATAGCATTCACGGGCGTCGCGGTTGGGGAAGCCGGTCTCAACAGCGTTGATGGCAGCGTTTCGAAATCCGTCTGGATGACATCAGGCTGAAGAAGCGATCCGTTGTCTGCTGGATCTTGTCGTTCAGGAGGCGTGGCAGGCGTTCATAGGTCGTGGCGTTGGCGATTGACGGTAGACAGAAGACCAACTGGGTAATCTTCCCTCCGACTAGGCCATGGATGACGTACAGCTATTCCCAGAGAGAAGGACAGGAGTAGAAGGTGCCGTCCATGTAGAGGGTGTCCACTTCTTGCAGGAGGGTCGAGGCGGTCACTTGTGGCTGAAGCAGAGAATCTTGTCATCATCACCGTCATCAATGCAGAGAAAGGGCAGTCATCTGTAGTCTCCTTGAAGAAGTCGGGTAGATTCACCTCGCTGGCGTCTGGGAAGTGGCATCATCTTCCGTCTCTGCTTGTAGAGTCCACTCTTCATAGAATGGAACGACTTGACTGTTGCTGCTTCACCTTGGTCAAGTCGGGAAATCTCCTCATCGTAGATCACCTGAACTGGCGTCGTCTGTGTCTGTACCCGCTGCCTCAGGGAACTGGCAATCTTCAGGGCTACCTGGTCTTCTTGTGGGTGGTTGTGTGGGGTCTGATTCCGAACAAACTGTCCGACTGTCGTACACTTGCCAAAGCAGCCACCTTGAACACACTTCCAGTGTACACACGTCTGTCGCCTGTTGTTGAGTCTGTAGCGGTATCCCTCCAAGAGTACCTGCTGTCCTCCTTTCTGTGATGTGAAGTATTCGACTTTCTTGGGATTTGCCATGATTTGCAATGAAGATTTGTATGACAAGCATTTTAAAGCAATACATTTCCTTCTCCCTTTAATAATCTCTCTATTAATTACTTTACTCTTCAATTTCCTTCTCGTGTGAGAACTAAATGCGTATGGAATTATCAAAACATAAGCTAGCTAACGATTTAATACTCTTGATCTTACTCTTTACTCTCCTTGCTGGCCTCCCCTAATCCCTTTGTAGGCAAAAGTGCACACTAAGTGGAACAATCTACTTGTGTGCAGGTAAGCGTATCGCTGTCACTGCAAACATTGTAGCTATTATTCCCTGTAGGCATTATTCACTGTAGGCATTAGTAGACCTAACCATGACTGTTAATCTTCTGACGCCTCAGCTTGGGTTATCCAGTGTGATAAATTGGGCTTTAACGATGCATCAAACTATCGATGGATTGCATTTGTTGAGTCTCCGATAGCAATTAATCATATCGGAAACGAAAAACTATCGATGCATCGATAGTATGTGTGACTGTCAGTAGTTTAGTAATTGACTTTCGTTGATTAATGCGCAGCGCAAAATTTCTATTAAATATTTATGATTTTTTTGTATTTATTTTCTTATGTTTGGGTGCAGACTTGCAGCTTCTTTGTGTTTATGTTTTAACTGTTTACTTGATCTTTTCAAGTTTAATCTTTATTTTTCAAGTTTGTTGTCGGTTATTGAAAGAGACTGAAACTATAATCAGCAACAAAAGTTCTTGTGACACATACATGTTTGGATAAATTTGATCATGTTTAACCCAAACCATAAAAAAACACGTTCACAATACGATAACAGAGCATACAAACTCATTTTGACTGTTTGAAAACCAGGTGAATAGGCTTTTGGTGTTTGAAAACCAGGTGATATAGGCTTTGCACGTCAATTTCGTGAAAAACGAGTAAGTCTGTGGGTATTTAAACATGAGTTGCGGATAGATTTTTCATTGTGGATAAAGATACGTTCACTGAGTGTTACCTGAAAAGACGTTGAATGTCGGACCACAAGTAAACTCATTTGATGCCAAGGCTTTCTGAAAATGAACGGTGGCGGGCACTTGGAATGCTCCAAGCAGGAACCGAGCAACGTCGATTTAATGTTCACAGGAACTGTATGGAACTTGTGGCACCGACATCAGCAAACCAATCACGCGAGAGACCATCCCCACAGTGGTTGACCACATGTAACGACTCAACGACAAGACAGCTGGATCAGATTAGAGTTTGAACTGTGGTTTTAGCCCGATAGCATTCACTTGGTCATCTTACTGCTTACAAACATGTCGAATCACAAGATTATGAATTGAAATTGTTGCATGTATGTTATCTGTATCTAGTATGCCATCCAAATCCAGATTTGACTTAGTGGAATGATTTACTTGCTAAACTAGAAGCAGACCTCAGTAAGCGAACAGGCTGTACCACGGTATTTTCCGTGTGTTGATGTAGCGACTCTCGGGTATGACGTCACGCGACCACGTGACCAGCTACCTCATTATCTTGCGTATTCGCGAAATGCTTTCGACGGTGGTGCGTTTTAGATTCCTAATACAAGCTGTATAATGAAATATTACCGTTTTTAACAGTATTTTGTAAATAGTATATATACCCAGGGATTCATTAAGAGCAAAAATAAACAATGTGAAGTGACCTTTATAAAAATCCTTTAACATTAAACAAGTATTTGTACATTAAATGTATTTGTCTTTCATTTGGTTTAATGTTTTCTTCTATGTCACTTTGAATGGCGTCACAAGAACTTTTGTTGTTGAGTATATTTCAACTTATTTCAATTTCATATAAACTGTACATTCATTTGGCAAATGGCCTCAAATGAGACAATATTGCAATGGTATTTCAATAGTTGGTGCCAATAGCATGATGCAATAGACTATAGATGTAAGGACAGTTGTTTCCCCGGTCACCCCTAGTAATCATGTGTTAGAGCATGCACAAGTGCGTGGAAACAGGTATTTTAGAAATAGCCGTTATTATTATCTGGGTTTTGGAGCCCACACTCTCAGTGAAACACCTGATCGCAACACCCTCAGCCAAAGATGCTTCACATATATGGAAGGTCTGGCAGAGTCCAGATATCGTACTTTGTGTTCCTCAATGACAAGTGTATATTGGCACAGCTCCCATGGCTGAAAGCTATACAAACACAAAATTGTGCCTTTAGAAGGTGGTCCAATGGAACATACATTATATACTCATGAAAACGAATAAGGGAACACATGAAAGTACAGCGTTCCTTTATTCTTTTCTAGGTTTCTTCACAAGGTATGATTACACTGTGTTTAAAACTCTGGAAATAATAAAGGAACGCTTGTACTTTCATGTGTTCCCCTATTCGTTTCTATGAGTATATTTGGGATTACCGTTTCTGCGTAACGTACAAATTGAAATATTTTTAGGTGTTGAGTCCGTGATTTGAACCAACACCCAGAGCGAGGCACTGTTGTCTCTGTGGCAGAGTTAGATCTCTGGCATTGTGTGCGGTGTTACATTTCTGATGGCAGTGGACCCGTGAAGATCCAGGGTAGAATAGGTCTTCAGCAACCCGTTCTTGTCATAAAAGGCGACTAACGGGATCGGGTGGTCAGTCTCGCTGACTTGGTTGACACATGTCATCGGTTCCCAGTTGCGCAGATCGATGCTCATGCTGTTGATCACTGGATTGTCTGGTCCAGACTCGATTATTTACAGACCGCCGCCATATAGCTGGAGTATTGCTGAGTGCGGCGTACAACTAAACTCACTCTAATGGCAGTGTGTATTTATGTACATTGACTTGAGACAAACCTTCTTATCTTCTATTTTTTGCAATGTGGTGCGGTGGGGGTAGCCTAGTAGTTAAAGCGATCGCTCATCACGCCAAAGACCCGGGTTCGACTCCCCATATGGGTAAAGTGTGAGGAGCTCACATCTGGTGTCCCCGCCGTCATATGGCTGGACTATTAACTTATTAAGTGGCGTAAAACCAAATTCACTCACTCTTTGCAATGTTATTTTTCATGTTCTGTGTGTTGTATTTGAATTAATCTTTCACTATTGATGTCCATGTGATGCCTTAAATGATTACAGAGAACCTGAGGTGTGTGGATGGAGAGGACGCAGAATAAAGGTTTTGAGGAATACAGATGCCATCACATTGTCGTAAATGATATTAAGAATTGACAAATTTCACTCGAGGAGGAATAAAATGACATTGTTTTTACCAGTGCATCTGACCCGTTGAGATCCGGGTTAGGATTGGTCTTCAACAACCCATGCTTATCGTAAGAGGCAAATAACGGGATCGGGTGGTCAGGCTCGCTGACTTCGTTGACACATATATCCCAATTACTTAGATCGATGTTCATGGTTTTAGTCACTGGTCATTCTTTGGTCCAGACTCGATCATTTATAGATCGCCGCCATATTGCTGGAATATTGCTGAGTGCGGCGTTAAACAACATACAAACTAGTTGTAAACTAATGGTGAAGGTATCCTGCCCTACCTGTAGGAACCCTACCTGTAGGAACTGTCATTAAGACATGCACAATCAATTGTTCACCTGAAAAACACACGGAACGTATGGTGCAGGTCATTCTCTTCCCACAGAAGTTGCTTGTCATATCTTCCTACGAACCCCTGTTCTAATACGGCCATATTTCCCGGTTCTCGTAAAGTCCCCTAGCGGCAAAAGATCGCAACACGAATTATCTCCCTTCTTTCTTTCAAATCAGAACACGTGTTACATCGACTTAGATTCAACTTGACTAACACAAGCAAATGTGGGGCCACAAATATCCCCCATCTGCCGGGGACTTGTGTTGATGTTACACACAAGACGTATAATGGCTAGCTTGTCCGTTGTCAACGAGGGCGATGGAGACGCCACTGATCCGCCATGACATGACTGAGTTCTGTCTAGAAGAAACGTTTGCGCATCGCGCAGGGGAAGAAGTTTAGTTTTCTCGAAGCATACGGAAATTACCGAGGCCTTGCGAATGATCACTTTTGAAACAACGTCGCTGATTGCACAACTAAATCTGATTGCCTCCAATCACGAGTCTTGAACGCTCACACCATGAAAGGGCCGTATTAGAACAGAGGTTACGTAGGAAGATATGACAGGAGTAACCTCTGTGGGAAGAGAATGGGTGCAGGTCGATATGAGTAACAACGGATACCAGCACTGGTGCGTCTAACATGGAAATGCCCTCAACATAACTGTTGTCATTCGTAACTACTCGTCCCTTCCCGTAACCTGAAAAGAAGACAAGTGCCCCTTTCGTAGCCATTTGCCTGAACTTGACTCTGAGCGCAAAAGCGCAGAGAGAATGAAATAGTAATTCCTGGAAGTACTGAATTTAAAAACTAACCTATTCATGATCACTGATATCAGTTGTACATGAAATCGCTAATTATAATTCTGAAACGTTGCCGATGAATCTAGAATCGGTTGGGATGTTTTTCGAAAATGCACTTACACGAACGCCGTAGAGCGCTTTCCGCCATATTGCATAGTGTTTACAAAATCACGTTTCGCGAAGGCCGGTATTGAGACGCCTATTACATCACGTATATTTCATATTCAGCTTCGAAAATGCATCACTGAATTCCCCATACATTTTGGAATCAAATTGCAACTGGTCTGTGTCACCAATACCAACTGTCTAGATAATATGAGACGAAACATATTGGGTGTGAAAACGAACGCTGTGCGAAAGACAGCGCTGGTACGAAACGTAAACAAAGACAAATTCCGATTTTACACTGTCTAGCATTTTCTGAAATTTCCCAACATTCATCCGTTTATTCATAGCTTGCAATAGCTCAATACCTTTTGAATGGAAAGAGTATCGTAGTAAGAAATAGGAAATTATAAATAGATACAATGCAATGATTTGATAATTCATAAGAAATTGTCAAAGTTTCCGTGCAGCGTGACGCCATGACTGGCGCAAAATCACGCAGAACGACAACGGTAATTATCTGCATTTCTGTCCTTTTCTCTTACGTATAGTGAAAACGATAAAAACGTATAACAATCCACAGATAGTCAGAATCATTCTGATTACTTACATCTCCTATTTATGTACAAACGATCCCTGAATCAGTGGAAGGGTCCTCGCAAAATCCTGTGTACCCTTGTCAGCAAAGCCGCCATTTTGTAAGAAATCGGTCAGCGGTACGGTAGTGATTACGTAAGTTCTACATATTAGGCAATTTCTTTGAGGTGAAGGTTGGTTGAACAAGAGTAAACACAATCGCCATATCCTTCCGATTACATCAGTATTATGATGTATATTTTGCGGATAGTTCGATACTTTTTCATGAAACTGACTTCAGTATCTACATTTAGCCTTGTTCAATATCATATCATACGTGCATATAGGGTTTACGGTGTTTTATTCTTTGAAAGTTTTTGATTGTTTGAATCATATTTACATAAGAAATTGACATATTTATTGCAATACACCATATTCTAAACCTTTACACAAGTGTTAGAAGATCAAACGTAGCCATTACTGCAACTACTTTAGTTCCTATGATGTACAATATTCAATTTATTTGGACTAATATTGCAATTTCATATGAACAGGTTAATGAACGGTGATATAATTCAACCTTATATGTAAAACTGATAATATTAATGACAATGATTTATATATGGTATGAAATATATATGCACACATATTTAAAGGAATTGTCTTGTTCATTGCATAATTTTGTGTCGTTTTATAGACAAAAGAATGATGCATATAGATCGGCAAGGTGCGCGTTTGTTGGAAACGTTTTATGATTCTCTATCATTGTTTTCGATAATATATTCAATTCATATTCGATTAAATAATATTGTGATGACAGGATATCAAACTCTAACTACTTATAGGAAAATTGTTGAAAAATATATATACCATCTCATGTGTTAATTCGGACAAATCTTCTATCCATATTCTAATATATAGTTCCATATATAAAAAGCTATCTTTTTTGCATCTTTCATTGCATACGTATGAAGAGAAATAGCTTCATAATCATAAACAAACAAAATTCTTATCCCAAACAAAATATTCGGGTGTTGTGAAATATTATTTTTATTTACGTTAAATTGATGCCAAACAGGTGCGCGTGTTGTTCACAATAAGATACGCTGTCAAACTGTCTAATTGTTGATATATTCAGGACACTATTTAAATGGAAAAATCAGTCATTTTAAGTTTTGTTTAAAGAGTGTTAAATTCTGACATAGAAGTCTAGACCTTTTATACAATTAATGGAAATTAAGTGAGATATATACTAATCAGCATACCAATATCGTCTTTTTCCGACGTCGCAAAATGCATAAAAAAGCGATGACGTCAACTAAAATGTTGTATTATTTTCAGCAATTTCGTTACATTTTAAGATATGGCTTACGTTAAGATATGGCTAGTACTCTGGTAATAACGATGCAAAATTAGTCAAATTACATCTACACAAACAGGAGAATATGGGAATCTAAGAACTAACTTATATATCGGATAGGGCCATTCAAATCGCTATTACGTGCTTTCACATGTAATACGTTGTCATCTTTTCTTATAAATTGTGAAACTACCAAAGCGCATCCGTTCACATTGGGGAACTTTGAATTGGAATAGTGTGGTTCACCATGAATATAAAATAACGAAAATATAGCGTCCGTATCCACAACAAATTCTCACCACGTGATCTGAGTTACATTGACCTAGTGACCCCCTTATCATCATACGTGTATGACCTCTCTGTCGTCGCTTGACGTCTTAGAAGAAAATACGTTTTTGACATTTATTGCGAGTCATTTTTAATGTTGAGCGTATAACGTTATGCACAAGCACATAAACCCAATTCATATACGCTTGTGGCTCTGTCAAAAGTGGAAATGGCACACAACACTGAGAGTGAGACCAGCGAGAGCTGACGGCTACCTCGTCATGCTTTTGGTTCATTCGTCGCTACTTCAAATGATAGTCAACCACCATTTCAGCAAGTTTTGACCTCTCGGACACGTCGAACCTCTATTGTAGCATCTCGAGGCACGGCAGCACGAGTCAGGCATCGTTATATTGCTGCGCATTTGAAATCGACCGTGCAACAAACTTTGAACGCCATCATTATGCCGGAAGTACACTTAGGACCGTAGTGATTGGCGCCATCTATTGGCGAAGCAGTAAAGGGAGATAACTGAGGAATGTTCCCCATTCCTTCATTGTTTCCTTTTTCCTATCAACACAAATTCCATGTATTTTAGCAATAATAACGGTAATGCTATTTTTGAGGGAATTATCATTTGCAGAAGCCCTCGGTCTTTTTCAACTGCCCTCCTTCGTCGGGCAGTTAATGGAAGACCTCGGGCTTCTGCAAGTGATAATGCAGTCAGAAATAGCATTACCCTTATAATGTAATCATTGCAACAAAATTAAATTTTGCATTGTCACATCAAATGGACAGACCAACTGTAATGATTTTTCTCATAATTTTGGCCTTCGAATAAAAAATGAAACAACGATCATTATTTTGTTGTCACTTATCGCTATTTCTTACGAGAGGGGACCAATTGCTGGTAGAACAGTTGTCCGAGTTGCATGTGTGAAATTGAAATTTCACCACACACGCTTGTTGATTACCTGGCTGTTCTACCAGCAAGTAGTTACAAATGAAAATATGCTCTCGCTCGGGAAATACCAACAATTAAGGCACTCGTGTCGTAAACATAGTATAACATTGGCACTCATATAATATCCTCTATACATTTACATCAACTGTACCTCACAACATGACTCAGGGTTCCAGCAAAGGTCTTCAGCTTCATGCCGGTATGTCTGTACGTCTTGCCTTACTGTTGCACTCACATAAGGAAGAACGAATCAATGTCAGGCAACACACAGATCACGTTTAAATATTTATGAGCTTCGTCAACTACCTCACCTTGCAATATTAATATGTAATATTTCCAGTTGCGTAGGCCGTCGCTCGTGATATAAGAACCATGTACGATTTACATGTACATATGGCTCTAAACTCCACACAGTGCCATGCTTATACGGGGTTGTTCTCTGTTTGCCTGGGGCGGTGGGGTAGCCTAGTGGTTAAAGCGTTCGCTCGTCACACCGTAGATCCGGGTTCGATTCCCCACATTGGTACAATGTGTGAAGCCCATTTCTGGTGTCCCCCGCCGTGATATTGCTGGAATATTGCTAATAGCGGCGTAAAACCATACTCACTCACTCAAATCGCCTACAGTCTTAAAACAACATTTCATGGTCTGTTGACTGTTGATTACGCAATGATAAACTAGTGTCTCCCCTATGATCTAAAAGTGGACTCTTCTAGTTGAAGTAGTTGAAGGACAAAGAGACAATGTTTTAAAGAGTTTATTTATTTATAGGGCTGGATATTGCCCTGATATTCATATTGCGATATATTGCAATAATTTAAGAGATATTGCAATACATATTGTGATATATTGACAGGAAGCTTTCTGCCCAAGTGTGTACATAATAAATTCATAATAGCTCTCTGTGGTCGACATCATCTTACTTGCTGTTACACCATACTTTCAGCTCCCTGTCGCCATTCTGTATGGTTGTGTGCCAGTGGTTTACAGACAAATAAAATGATATAATGTGGAATTTTTAATCGAAGTATTGCAACAAAGGTTTGCGAACATAATGATAAAGGTAATAGTATAACATGATTTTCATGGTCAGTGTTCTTTGCTTCAACAGAATGCACTTCAATGCAGTATGTAATTATTGTGTGTCAGTGATTCATTCAGATTCAACTCCAATATAAAGATGTGTTAACATGAACTATTGCAAAATGAAACAAAAACATGATTTGGTTTAACTACTTGACATTAAAATCCAGTAACTAAGATCCTTGACAAGAATGCCATTATACAATCCTTCAAAATTTATAAGACTTAGACCTTTATGATAAATTGATATCATATGTGCCATTATGAAACAATCATAAATTACAAAGTAGTGTGAATTGTGAAATGGTCATTCAGAGCCAGAGGCTCTACTAATATGTCCAAATAAACAATTGGTCCATTTGAGGCAACTTAATTCCTCAGAATGAAACCATTCAAACCCACACAACGTTAAGCATTTGGTAGAATATATGGCACTTTTGGAGCCACTTATAATGTCACTTCCACCTGTAAAATGAAACCAATGGAAACAAAAGCTGCACTTTTAGAGCACATTTTGTGTCATGGAAATCAAGGGCAGATAATTCAAAGGGAGCTAACTTTGGAAGACCCAATACATTGCAGAATCTTAACCATGTCGCGATAATCGTATCGCGAGATACTGTACCGGTATATACCGGTTTATCGGTAATATTGCACAGCCCTATTTATTTCATATATATTTTACATCATATGATCACATCATATCATTTTCTGATCACGATGAAATGATCATTTATTTATCATATATCATATCATATCCCATCAGTATTGAGAGAGTTGACTTTTGGAGATGTCCACTCTCACTTAAAGTTGGTAAGGTAGCCACCGCTTCGAGGAACTGAAGGGTTATCTTCTTCCAGGAGCAAGTCTCAGTCCAGGAACGGAAGATATGTGGTCGCCAATGGTACTGCGTTTACCTTTACATTGATCTTTGACGCACTTCAGTGTGTGGCTACTTGTCTCACAACACTCAGTCGGTACTTGTGGCCATCATGTAGTACCTGTTTTCCTCCTCTCTGAGACAGAATGACGTCTGCAGGTTAGCCATTGTGACTATCAGTGCTTGGCGAACATTCCATTTTATAGGGTTAAGTTGGTTTAGAGCCTATTGGTAGCAGAGAACTGAGTATTTTACATTGAGAAATTAAGTACATGTAAATCTCATCATTGTTTTACAATGCATTAATCCCTTTCATTTTATTATAACCCAGTTGTAACTTCTTATTGGATGTCCTAATCATCTCTACTCAACTACATATCCTTATAACAACAGTCGATCAAGATTAGTATGGCCCTGACTAGTGAGTCAGGCTCATTATAAGAATATGGGGTGCATTTTCTAATCCCAATTAGCCTACATTGTGTTTGTATGCGATATGGGTTGAAGGCGAATTGAGATGCATGCGAAGAGAGACTAAACCGTTATAGCGTACAGAAACTCATGAACATATGTGAGTTTAGTTGTACGCCGCTTTTAGCAATATTCCAGCAACATCCCGACGGGGAACACCACAAATGGGCTTCACATGTTGTACCCATGTGAGGAATCAAACCCGGGTCTTCCGCGGCGTGACGAGCGAACGCTTTAACCACTTGGCTACCCAACCGCACGTACATGTACAATTGTACGTATACCTGTTGTTTGTTGTCGGCGCGTTATAAGAGTTAGTGATCAATCCATCTCGTTAATCTAGTGCTGACTGACTGACTGAGTGAGTTTAGTTTTACGCCGCTTTTAGCAATATTCCAGCAATATCACGGCGGGGGACACCAGAAATGGGCTTAACACATTGTGCCCATGTGGGGAATCGAACCCGGGTCTTCGGCGTGACGAGCGAACGCTTTAACCACTTGGCTACCCAACCGCACGTACATGTACAATTGTACGTATACCTGTTGTTTGTTGTCGGCGCGTTATAAGAGTTAGTGATCAATCCATCTCGTTAATCTAGTGCTGAAAGATCACCAGTATTGTTCGCATATTCCAAACCGAAACATGAGTCTCATTAACCTATTCTGACAATGACCTACTTTTCAGCTGATCCGAATGTTCTCGTGTGAATGTGAAAAGAGACAAACAACTCTGGTTACACTGAATTCAAATTCCTTGTTTCTTAAGAAAATGGTATTACAACTGAATTTTAGTTTAAAGGTCACATGCAACCAAAAAATCAAACATAATTAAAACACAATTATCACTTATTCATGACATATAATATACATTGCTGGTTATGAAAAAACATATAAACAAAATTATAAGCGTACAATCGCAAATCAAAAGTGCAATATTGTGTGCTTGGGTTTACTTCCCAAGAAACGAAGCAGCCGGGATACCGAACCCAGTCAGAGCGGGTGGGTGTGCACTCAAGTGTAACGGCTGGCTCATTTGCAGTTGCCCTCACGGCTCATTGTGTGTGTACATATAGAGATGTTGGATTTTGTAAATACATGCTCATTTTTTGTGTGTAACATTTTACAATCAACAGACATCATAACATGTCATGTGTTCAAGTATCACACCTGCCTGTCTGTGTAATTACATAATGTGACAGAGACCGAACTCGGGCCATAAATCAATGCGTTTTGTTTATGGTGTATAGCCTGATTGGTGTTAAGTTCAAATTGCATGTGGTCAGTGATAGCAGCTGTGTATTGAATATTGTTATGAGCAGACAGGCAGGCAGACACACAGGTGTCAATAAAACAAGACATTGAGTTTTGTCTGTGACAACGACATATCTATATCACAGTTAGAAATTCTGTCAACGCTAAATATTGACATTGCTTTTAAGTATCGAACTGAGAAAGTGACTCGGTAAGAAGAACGTGTGGTGAAATAGACAAATGAAATTATATAAACAGTTAAATTACTGTCATAACATATAAAAAGCTCGCGCCTGTGAGATATCAACAAAACATTAGAAAAATAGCTCACACCAAAGCCTTCACCGAGTATTCACCCGACAACCCGCTTCCAAGCTGCGCGAACCTATTTCACTGCGCACGTGCTATGAGCGCAGCCCAGCTGTTGAAACCAGTTTTCCCCAAAGTCGGGGGAAAATTAATGAAACGTTTGAACTCCGATTTCGCGCGGTTTTTTTCATCGCGTTATTTTTCAACTTTATAAGTTGAATTTGCATTTTTGACGCTTTGTTTCGGTAAGTCCATACCGAAATGTATCAGAATCTGCAAAGATGTGTTTTACGTTGCATGTGACATTTAAACTTTAATAACATCGTATTTCTATATTTTATGGCGAGGTTTAGGCAGTATGACCTGAACTAAGAACGCACAACGCACAATGTGATTGATAGAATATCAAGTCCGTACCAGACCGCCAAATGTTTCTAGCGACAGAGCCTCGTTTTGAGATTTCCACGATTTCCATATTTCCGTTTGTCAGAGCACTGTACGACAAAACACGCTGAACGACGTGTTTGCAAGGATTAGAAGGAGCGTATAGTTGCAATATACAAGTGCTTATATGTATCAAATAATGCTGATAAATATGTATGCATCCAGCTGAATGAATTGGTCTAAAAATTCTGGACTGGTTATTGTACTAAAGGTGCGCACCAGGACGGAACCCAGTCAGCAGGAAACGAGACTGTTGCGTAATCAATGTCTTGAGTTGCAGGTAGAACTGCATCCGTTGTGTGTAGGTGTTCAATGACAAATACACACCCAGCCATTCTAACACATCCCTTGCAAAGTATAATTGTATTCAGAATATATAAAATATGTTCAGAGACATTCTGGTCCTGTTGACGTGTGAAAACGTGTACTTTTGTAAATTTTCTCAAATTCTGAATTGGTATTATGTGAACTGAATCAAATATTTGTCATTCTATACATTACTCTTAGATGGTGTAGTATGGGCGGTGATGATAAGAGATGCTATGTATTGAACGATGGGTCCATTCTCATTTCTTGTAATTCACATTTAACAGCCCGAATGCTGTGACAACAAATCAAACAAGGGAGTGCTTTATTTCGAGGATACATTTGGTATGCCCGATCATCTAGGTCCATATATCAATGCCTGATATGAGTACGTGCGCGCGTGTATGTACGAGTATGTGAGTGCGTGCGTGCGTGTGTGTGTGTGTGTGTGTGTGTGAACCTTAACCCCGTGTGCGGTACTGGAAAATGCATATGGGCCCTAATGTTGGAGGCTGGCCCTGTATGCGTTATTCTATGGTTTGTTCAAGTTTGTCGGTCCGACTCAAATACAATCCACGCCATTGCCTGGATCAGTATGGTTGTATGCCACTTTTAGCAATATTCCAGCAATATCATGTAGGGAGATACCAGAAATTTGCTTCCAACATTGTACCCATGGGGAATCGAAAAATGGAGTTCTGGGAAACACTAGACTCCCTCACTGCCCAGTGACGTCACTATATGTCACATGGGCTTCTTCCGTTATTTAAAACTAGAATTTATAGCAGCATTGTTGAAAACGCGCCGATACATCCATTTTACTTTTGATATTATGGCCCAGCACCAGAATACAAAATAATGACTTCAGTTGTCATGGATACCAAAGGACAGGATGAGTTTCTGACAGACATTGAAAGCTGGTTTATCTCATACCAACGTCAGCCATGGGTTCCAGACTCTGCTTGGATTCCTTCAAAAAATAATTCACAAATAACTGCCAGAACAAATTACAAAGCCATTTGTTTTAGTTATTGCAGATTAAGAAGCTCATTTACTGACAGGGTACTTCTGACATTATTATCAATTTACTTTTTAATTTCAGCAAAATTATTTTCCCATTATTAAAAATCAATTGTGGGTATTTCATCTCATTCCATCAACGTTTGATTGCATAAATCATTAATGATTTACAGACCCTGTTATTTCAAACAGATGTTAAGTTATATGATTTCTGTTGTTGCCCACAAAATATTGGTAGGATTTACAAAAAGGGTTACCGTTTTATTATGGTGCATTTTTCTCATATTTTCAAGTTTTAATCAATCTTTCATGCTTTTTTTATTCAACAATAAATGATGACTGCGTCAACTGTTTGGGAACTGTTTTATTTTCATCAAATGATTGATAATACGACAATGAAAGCATACTATATAGTTCCATCAACATGAAACATTTATGTAAAGCAATTGAAATGACGCACACATGATGCTATCCTCAAATTTTAAAAGTATTGAACAAAAACCTATCGGCAACAAATAATTAACAAATTGTATTATTTTACATTTTGCATCGATTATTTCGCAAGCTTTTGTGACAAATGAAATTTTGAAATCCGGAGATTTATGACGAAAGGATGACTTGTCAGCTAACCAATGGGCCCTCCTCAAATGGATACCTGCCTGATGACTAATTATCGGTTTTGGGGGTAATCATCGTAAAACTGAGGTTACAGATAACTGGGATGATTGTATGGGTATGCAGCTTTACTTTTACGTGGGAAAGATTCTAGTGCATGTCATAAGTAGAGGAAAACCTGTCTATTGATAGACTGCTTCATTATTGCAATAGACGAGACGTTCCGGTGTAGATCCTAACACCATTTCAACCGCCTCCGTGGTGTAGTGGTTAGAGCGTCCGCCCGGAGAGCGGAAGGTCGCGGGTTCGATCCCCGGTCGCGTCATACCAAAAGACGTTAAAATATGGTACTTGTTGGTCCCTGTCTGGCGCTCGGCATTAATGGGTACTTCAAGGACTGGTCCACTCGGAGTCAGTATAATGTGTCTGAGTGGGGTATTCATGCTTCACTGCGGCATGGTATCTCAGTGGGCTAGCACTATAAAACCAGCTTAAGTCTGGGCTAGTACAGGCACATACACATACACACGCATGCACGTCGTCATATGAGCGCAATATTCTCAAGCACGACGTTAAACCCAATTTCTCCTCATCTCACCTAACACCATTTGCTTGTAACATATGTTATATTTGGGATTACACTTCCTTAGTAAAGTACAGATTCTAGTACTTTTGATGGGTTGAGTCTCATCTGGGATTCGAACCCACACCCTCAGGTCTGTGCGCTGGCGATTATTTGCCTGACTCTGAAATGTGGGTTCGAATCCCTGATGGTACTCAACCCAACAAAAGTACGAGAATTTGTACTTTGCTAAGAAAGTGTAATCCTAACTATAACATATGTTGGGG